ATATATATATCAATGGTAAATGAAAAATGCTTTTATCGAGTAGAAACAAGTAAGTTTATTACTGCAAAATCACACGTACGTTCGTTCGCGCAATGGATTCCCTTTATATATGTATGTGTATATATATATATAATAGCGTAGGTACCAACATGTAATAATAATACAAAAGTGTCTCGATTTCCCGTGACAATTTTTGTTGTGCGTCCGAACGGAAGAGAATCGACAGAGAGCGTTGTACGAGATGGACGACGGAAGGACAATTTCTCCGCATGTATTTGGTTTGCAAAAAAAAACCGAAAATCCCTACCTCAAGCGCGTGTTTATGCCCAGCAGGGCATTGCCACTGACGATGCTGGCAAATAGAGCTCTCGCCCTGTCGCTGGGTGATGGTTCGTCACCGGCGGACAATCGACGTCCAGCCGAGGACGGTAGCCTCGCGTCTCTGCCGGTACTGTAGCTCGGGGTTACCAACTGAGGCAAGGCGCTGCTCGTCTCCGCGGTGTCCCCGATGTGCCGTTCCATCCTCACGGGCTGGGCCAGCGGCTCCACGGTCGTGCGTATGTTGCCCTCGGACCTGCCGTACCTGGCGGTCAGCTGCAGCCTCGGCAGGAGCCTGTCCTCGTCCACAAAGTAGTTACCCTTCTTGAGGTTCTCCGACTTGGTCTTGCGTATTATGAGAGCGAAGCGCCGCTTTATGTCCTCGCGCAGTTGGCTCTCCTCCTCGGAGTCGACGCTGTTGTCGGCCGAGCGCCTCAGCGAGGACTCCTCGAGCATCTCGAGTAGCCGGCCGAACGACAAGCAGAGTTCCTCCATGGATTTCTGGCTTATCGACAGGTAACTCCGTGAGTCGCGCTCGCGGCGCCGTTGCGCCTCCTCCAGTTCCGATAGGTTGGATCTAGCGGCGCGTAGCTTCGACTCGGCGAATTCCCGCCGGGCGCGCTCCTCGGTCAGCGAGAGCTCGAGTCTGCGCTTGTCCTCGAGCAACTTGTCCCGCTCCTCTTGGCATTCCAGCAGCTCGTGTACGACCTGCTGGAGCCGCTGGGCTTCGGCGCTGGGCTCGTCGCCGGTCGACGTGTGTTGCGCCCGGTCGTCGGGAGCGGCGCTGACGTCGATCGCCGGCAAGCTACTGCTGGCGTTGTTGTTTTGCGTCGGGTCAGCCAGAGTGTTCAGCTGGGACTGCAGGTCCAAGTGTAGGGACATCTTGGGAGTCTTGGGAGTCACCGCGGGGGGTAATAGCTGCAGCAGCTGTGGAAGCGAGAAACAAGTACTTAGGGTGAAAAGTTCTTTTTGTTGGTCGGGGTCCATACCTGTTGTGGCAGTAGTGGGGCTATTGAACGCGGAGGTGGCTTCATGGGCTGTCGACTGATTCGTTTACTGTCGAGTACGGGGATCACCGGTAGCGTGGATTTCGTTCTCATCCTCTTGAACACCTGTGGCAGTGGCATGAGCAGAGGCTTTCTGTAGACAACGGGTGCCGGTGGCCTCTTGGCATGTCTGATGATGGCGCTCCTCGGCCTCGGATGTCCGCTCTTGGCACCCGGACCGACTTCGTCCGACGATTTTTGTTTGCGTATGTTACCGGCGGAGACAGTGCGCTGCTTTACCGACCCCGAAGTCGACTCCTTCTGATGGGGCAGGTTCAGCCAGCGGTACTCGCTCTTTTTGCAACTCAGCTCGTTGCGCTCCAGACGCCGGGCTATGTCGGCCAAGCTGTCCGCGCGCACGTCGCTGTTCAGACGCACATCGACCACCACGAGGGTCTGGTTTTGCTCGAGGAGTTGGATGATTTCGCGGCTTATGTCATCGGTCAGGCCGCACTGCTGAAGATCCAGAGCTTTAAACCAGAGACTGTCCCTTATCGCGTCGATTATACCTGGGTGGGAATGGCAACTGTGAAAGTGGTCGATAAAGCTGCAGAAGAGCCTCTCGTCTTGCCATACGATCCCTACCGATAACAGCCTCGTTGCCGAGCTTGGCGTTCCCGTTGAGCGTCAGCCTCCTCAAACCCGGCATATTCTCCAGTTTGGGTTCCCTGTATCGCAATGACTGTTTCCAGGCATCGTGGTACAACGACAGCTTCTGCCTCGACAGGGCGGAGGCCAGGGCGGGACCCGAGACCCCGGTCAGGTCGCAGTGGCCCAAATTAAGGGACCTTATGCTCTGGACCTCTGCTATCGCGCGGCAGACTATCTCGCAGCCGGTGTCGCCTATGTGGCATCGTTGCAGCGACACATGCTGCAGAGACTTGGTGCCAGCGAGCCCGTGGCAAAGAACGGCCAGGCAGTCCGGGGGCCAGGGTATACCCTCGAGCTCGAGACTCGTGAGAGAGCTCGAGTTGCGCGTGCATTGGGCCAGACTGTGGGAGAGGCACTCGAGGATGTAGCGCGACAGGACAACCGGCGCCTTGCCCACTGCTCGGGCCTTTGACTCAGAGTTCGCGTGGTCGAGGTGCTTGCGGTGCTGGTTCTTGACTCGCACGCTTATCGTTCTGTGGGGCGTATTAGATATCGAGTGCCTGAGTTGGGACGGAGCACATGGTTAAGGTTCAAACCTCAGGGTGCGGTCGAGTGACAGTGAATTTAGGATGGGCGCCCAGTCGTCCAGTTTAATGCGATCGACGGTGAAGTCGAGCGCGTGGGGCAGAGTCACGCATATCGTCGGCAAAGGTCGGAGCCTCTGTTGCCGGCACAGCTCCATGTACACTGTGGCGAAGCTGTGGTCGCTCAGCACCGCCATGTTTGGCTCTGGGCTTTAGTTTTCCTTGTTGGTTAATTAAAAAACATCGATCGATTCACGCATGATTTTTGCCATATTTTTGTAGTGATGTATCGTTACTAACCTCAAAAATATGGATCGAATTAACCTTTAACTGAACGTTTTGTGGGCTTCATAACGATCGAGGGAGATGAACGGAAAAATCGGGTGTGGTGCTCGAAAAAAGGCTCGTTTACCTCGATACACTGTCGAACAATTTTTCAAGACAATGGCGCGATCCTTGATTTTCGACAACAATCAGCTTTTCGGCCGAAATAACGGACTACCCTTCCTACCGTCATTGGCGCGATTCCCGTGACTGCGTTGAAATTTACCGATAGCGACTGAAAGACAGGTGGCATGTCATTATTACGAATAATAGGGGGGGAAGGTTTTTTTCCACGTCCAACTCACCCAAAATCTGTGACGAGCGAAAATACGGCGTAGGAATGAGAGGAAAACATGGAGTTTTCACACGCGCTGTTGTTACTTTGTGGTTTTTAAAAATATAATAATTATAGAGTTGAAATGGTGTTACGGGCAAACAAAAAGAAAATAAATATTGCGAGGTGCAAGAGCGTGAGGTCTGAAGTTGGGCGCGGAAATTCAGAGAGGGTGCTTGTATATTTTTCATTCGAAAACGTCCCCCCGATCAGCAATAGCCGACCAGTGTGCTTTAACATTCAAATCTGTCGAATCATCGATTCAAACTATCTCTATATTAGTTAATATACTTGTAACGCAACAGTACGAAAAAATATGAGGCCAATTTTACGAGGGCACCCATCAGTGTGATGATTATTACTTTGTTTTAACACAAAGCATGTATGGTATACATATTCCATTTACATCACCAGTGGGTGAATCAAGTTATCGTTCATAATAAAAAGACACATTTGCATAACGGTAATCACTCTGATTACAGATGTGCAGCAAAAATAATGTAATGAACAAAGACTCGCGTAACCCGTGCGAATTTGTTTGTTGTTCGCAGGCCACCGGTTTCCTTTGCAATGGCGAGGTACGCTGCCCCGCTACCCTTGCACACCACCGCGCCAACGTCGAACTCGACCACAGCACCGTTGACGCCCAAACAGGACAACGATGATGGTAAATATCGTTGAAAATTATTTTCTACGGTTGATGGTACAAATATCGCTGGCAATTGTCCCAAGACAGCATGCATGCTTTTTTCCACTCAAACATGGACAAAATGAGAAACCAATTCAAGTTCATTGTTCAAACGAATGAGCGAGTTGTAAGAAATTTGTACGTTTCGCTTGTGTGTATGCCGATGTAGGCAATGCGTCGGAGGACAGCATAGACGTGACGAACGAGGAGCCCCTGACACCTCAGCCGCAACCGCAGCAGCCGCAGCATCAGCAACAGCAGCAACAGCACCAACATCAGCGCAACTCGCATCCGCTGCCCATTCCATCCCTCATATACAATCCACCAGCTACCGTCGAGACCGTGTACGAAGCGTCGGCGAGATTGCTCTTCATGGCTGTCAAGTGGGCCAAGAATCTTCCCTCTTTCGCTAGCCTGGCCTTTCGCGATCAGGTGATTACCATCAATTGTTTTTTTTTTTTTTTTTTTTTTTTTCAAACCATACACGGATCTGAGATTACTTTAAATAGACTAGACTCATCAATATATTAATTTTTACCACGGGCTCTTGCGACAGTGATTTACCATTTGTAAATGTATCTGGGCATTTTTTATCGTTTGGATTTTCAATAAGATAACGTGGATTGATGCGATATAAATTTTTTTAAAGATAAATATTTTTAATAAATGGCTAAAACGCACGATGCCACAACTTGTGAAGCATAAATAAAAATAAAAAAATAAAAAATAAAAAAACTGATAAATATATACAATAAACTCCGACTACAAAGTAGTTGTAACAAACGATTAATAAATACTATGGAAAATCAAAATCCTTACAAATGCATGAGTAAACAAGTATCTAAATAAGCTTGAAAATTCCTTGTGGCAATGGTCATTTTTTAGTACCAAAAAAGAGTATGCGAATTCGAAAAAAAGCCCCAAACCCAATTGATTTTCTTTTACGCGCGAATGGTAGGTATAACAAAAAAAAAAAAAAAGAAAAAAAAAAAAAATCATTGCCGAATCCCAGGTAATCCTGCTCGAAGAGGCCTGGTCGGAGCTGTTCCTCCTGAACGCGGTGCAATGGTGCCTGCCCCTCGAGTCTCCCCCGCTGTTCAGCGCCGCCGAACTATCGGCCCTCACGTTGTCCCCGCACTCGATCCATCCGCACTCGGGCCTCCACTTGACGCCCTCGGCCAAGTCGAATCAGGTCGCCGCGGACGTCAGGTACCTCCACGACATGCTCAACCGCTACAAAGCCGTCATGGTCGATCCGGCCGAGTTCGCCTGCATGAAGGCCATCATTCTCTTTCGCCCAGGTAACATTTTCAATGATAAATGAGTATCTGTTCGTTTTCGTGGTGCGTCACCCTCTTCTTGAATGACAAAATTCATTTTTCATTAAACAATAATCGTATCAACGGTCAGACCAACCATTTTATTTCCGAGGAAAAAAAAAAAAAAAAAAAAAAAAAAAAAAAAAAAAAATGTTGACAGAAACCCGTGGCTTGAAAGACTCGAGCCAAATCGAAAATCTGCAGGACCAGGCGCAGGTGATGCTGGGCCAGCACACGCGTAGCCAGCAGCCCAGCAATCCGGCGCGCTTCGGTCGGCTGTTGCTTTTGCTGCCATTGTTGAGGAACGTGCCGGCCTCGAGGGTCGAGTTGATTTATTTTCACCGGACGATCGGCAATACGCCCATGGAAAAGGTGCTCTGCGACATGTACAAGAATTAATTGATTCGTACCCACGCATATATACATACATACATACATATATATATATATATACATCATGATACACACAGTGCACGCGAATTTGGATGCAAAACATAGATATATATGTATACGTAATATATTATTACGAAATAGGTATGCAGTTGTTTGTATATAGATATATATTATACGTATACATTGTAGGTAGGTCGTGTAACGTGTTAGGGTATACTACTTGTGCGTATTAGGAGTGGTTCGATGCTGCTGTGGTGCCACGGAAGAAGGTATAATTTATGACTTGCTGAGTAACAAAAACCAAACAAATTTACACCGACGAGGAAACTATTATTTAATTGTCGATACTACTTGGATCGAATTTATTCATGATTTTTCGGGATGATTTTGACACGGCGATGTTGCATCGAACGAATCGAAAAACGCGACAATCAAACCGTGACTTACTATTTACTAATGACTCGGTAAGTCTTCTTCCTGGCGCATCGAATCAGCATACAAATGACTAAATGTGTGATAGACGTTATACAGTATTCTTGATTGACAATTTCTTTTTATCGACTAGTCAAACGTTTATTTTTAATCTATACGTCAGCCAAATGTGCTCAATCGATAGCTTAGGATTCATAGCTTAAAAAAGAAAAAAGAAAATTTTTTTTCAATCACCCATCAACCGAAACCACCCATTTTATGTACAAAAGACCGTGCTGAATCCGAATGACAGGACCAATAGTTGGCTGTCAGGCTTTCCCCGTAGTCGCATCTAAACTATTTTAAATTCGTACCCACGTAATTCTTGGCATAACTTTTTCACCTGACGAAATGAAAAAAAAAAAAAAAAAAATTAAAAACTAGAGCCTACGACGCGGGTTCAGCTCCATAACTAACGTACAATAAGGTTGGTTCGAGTCAATGGGTTGATTTATCTTTATTTTTTTTCTCTCTCTAGTAACTGTGAATGATTGTTATTAATTTTTTTTTTTTTTTTTAATATCATAATTGGTCGTGCCTAACTTTAATACAGTGCGAATAAATGAAAATATACACATGTATATCTCATACTTACTTCGATAAAAAAAGTATCTCGTAAGAGCGTCGTGTTGTTTACACAGAAAAAAAAAAAAGAAGAATAATAATATTAATAATAATAGAATTCAACTGTAATTTTCGAACAGCAGATAAGAAAAAAATCTAATTGTAGAATATGTGGCGCAGACGGATTGTGTAATAAATGAGGAGGTCCGAAACTCCGTAGCAACGAAAATAATACATAGGTGGGCCTAAACTTGACGATACGCATAACATTAAACGAGTGAAAAAAAAACCGAATCTTTTTTTCTTCAACAACTATCAATAAATTTTAATGATGAAACAAACTTCAGTATTGCGAACTACTACATATGGCATGAAAAAAATTTGTCAAAAGTCATCTTGTTGAATGAGAAAACAGGTGACGTGTTGGTATAAACATAAATAATATCGACGTCACGCGTTCGATGGGTTGTAAAAAATTAAGCGAGGAAAGATAAGGTACGATTATTCCATATTGTTGTGATAAATGACTGTCAAAAAAAAAAAAAAAAAAAAAAAAAAACAAAAAAAAAACAAGAGAAGGGTTGGTTAGCGTGCGCACGTAGGATGAACCAAAAAAATAAGCTCGCACACGCCGAAGGAGACGAAGAAAGGGCTGGGAAAAGCCGCGGGATAAGAGAGGTGCGTGCGTGCCGCAGTCCCCGGCGCTTATTAAGTTTAGTTGCTCGGCGGACCGCAGCGGTCGAGGGGGCGGAGGCGAGCTCACGTTTTCTTCTCTCCTTTTTTTTTTTCTTCTTTTTCATAATTATGAAGAACAAAGAGTTCACATTGTGCCGAGGGAGGGGGACTTTTGCCTGGATAAGGTTTTTTTTCTCCCGCGTGGCTGCTTTGTGCTTTGAAACGTTAAAATGAGGTTTTCCCTTTGCCGAGTGGCTTTTCCAATTTTTAATTCATAAGCCCATCTTGGGGCACGTGCTTTTTCACCTGCTATACATCATTATTGTTGTTAATGTGATGCAATTATTTTTAAAACACGAGTGAAAAGTTCATGCGGTTCAAGGATAGCTCTTCGTTCGATTTGGCTGATGCTCCGTGATCGAAAACTTTGAAACGAGATTGCCCGTATTGTATATAACCATTGAAATAATATCTTTCAACAAGTTGCTCGTGTTCTATAACTCTTAACTGCCATGCTTCCTGCCAAGCAATTTTTTTTTTTTTTTTTTAGAAAGTACAATTTCCAATTTATTGTTCCAATAATTTAAAACATTGATAAGAAGTATCAAGTCACGAATTTTGCAAACAATATTGTTTTGTTACTATCATTGTGCAAAAACGCCAGAGTATATTTTTCGATTTGTTTTTTGTTTTCCTGTAAATTCCAAGTCCAGCGGACAAAGACTTAAAATAGCGCGCCTCGTATAACAATGGTTTACGCAACAAGCACTTGAACCGGGTTGTTTTCATCGAACGCGAGAATATTGTCGCACGAGTCGATACTTTCCCTCTGGATTACGTAAAACTTACCGCACACCTGCGAGTAGACGCTTCTTTGTGTAAAAGTATCATTGCAAAAAACATCGATATCAAAACTCTTGGGTGTGGGGGTCTAAGATATACATATACCTATGGCAAAAGGAGGCGATCGATGGACATCGTAATGTTTTTCCTCTCGCGTTGTTAGCTCATCTCCTCGCAACGATGAGACACACAGTTTTCAGTACAGCGACTTGGCAGCACCAGTACAGTAGGTATAATATTAGTACACCTAATACATAAAGGCGAGTTGCGCAATGACCCTCCGTACCTGCCTATACATACAAACATCCACCCCGTCGCACAATACACTGCACGTATACACAATGCATCTGATTTCTGTCTGGCTCTCTTTTGCGCCCTACTGTCAGAAACAGCAGTGGTCCGTATTTACCGTATACTCTCGCTGTCTTCGGATGGATACGTGTATGTACATACTCCCCGTGCGGTTGTCTACCTCAGAGAGAGAGGGGTGGTCGTAACCGGGCGTTACGCGAACTTGACGAAAATCCGAGCAAGTTTACTCGGTCCGTCACCGAGACATCATGGGAATGAAAGACGGGAGGGGTGAACGAGAATAACATGTATATATGTGAAGAAGAACCAAGTTATTGTTGTTGCGATTTGCTAAACGCCCCCGTGATGTTACGTAATGGGAGACGGGAAGGGGACGGGAGTTATTCAAGTGCAAATATTGGCTGCTGTTTTTTTTTTTTTTAATATACTTGATGGACAAAAATTCAGTTTTTTAGAGAAAAAAAGAATTTTTTTTTTTTTTAATCGTGGGGTGTTTTTTATGCACTGCACGTTACTATTTTTCACTGAAAGATGTATAATGCAAAAGATACAGTTTAATTAACGACAAAACCTCAGAACCGTCTTTATATTCTACCGAAATTCATCGGAGCACCGGTAGATCTCAAGCATCACCTCCCGAAAAACGTCAACAAGGAGATGGGGGAAAAAAAAAACCATCCCCGATACATCCAGCAACGAGATACAATCCAACAAGCTCAAAGCATGACCCTTTCCCCCGGCACGTAACGACTCGCCCGTCGTTTTGCGCAAGACAGCTATAATGGAAAGCAAAGACGCCCGTGGGCTATACGCGCTCGGGAAAGAGACTCCGTCGCGTCGCCCATCGGAAATTGGATTGACTTTAATTATCGGCTTTTCGCCCCTTCCCTCCCCCCCCCCTCTCTCTCTTTTACTCTTTAGCACACGCGCACGACGCGCTCCTAATGATCCCCGCTCCCGCGTTCACTGATTTTTCCTTCTGCCTCGCCATGAATCTTACCATGAATCACGCCTCGATGATTTCGTTTTCCAGCCGTGCAAAACGAGAGACAGCCACGCAACACGGCGACCATAAGGCCCGAGGCGCTCGTCGAAATGGACCAGGAACGAGCCCTGCGCGAGGCTGCGGTGGCCGTCGGTGTTTTCGGGTGAGTATACAGTTACAGTTATTATTTTTGGAATGAATTGTCAACCTCCTCGAGTAAAAATGGCCCTCCGATACATGAGAATACAAACGAAGAAGAGCGAGCCGACCTCATGGAGGCTGGAAAAGCGAGTTTGCACGCCACGTTTGATCTCGCGGTCAAGACACCTTCCGAAGCTCGGATGGGGGGGAGGGTCTCGTTGACGCGCCACGCTGAGCGTGATCTATCATGAAAAATTGCACCTTTGACCGGGCATGTATTTTATAATATGTGTGCTCGGAGTCGCGTTTCCATCCCTTCGGGTGGAAGTAATGGAAAATCCATATACATCGACCTAAGCGTCAGGAGGTGAAGTTGTATGTGGCACTAGGTGCAGGGTGTGTGTGTGTGTGTATCATTTATATAGATCACGCAACGTGATATGTGCAGCAAATATACGTATAAGAGGCAAACGCAAAAACTGTCGAGCTCGGTCGTCTGAAAAAATTCATCGATCGTTCGTGGGCGTTTATGTACATCAGTAGTATGAATATATATATATATATATCAATGGTAAATGAAAAATGCTTTTATCGAGTAGAAACAAGTAAGTTTATTACTGCAAAATCACACGTACGTTCGTTCGCGCGCTCGATTCCCTATACATATGACAACCCCGAACCGAGACTCCAAGGGTTAATTGGAAGAAATAAACGTATGCAGAGAAGAAAGAGGGATGCGCGTGTCTGCGGCTGGATGGCCAAAGCCGCACTGCACGACGCTTCGATCAAGATTTCGGCACGTCTGTACCTTCATGTCACTTTTTTTTTTTTTTTAATCCCCTTGCCGAAT